GTCTCTTGGGCTTCACTTTGCTCAAAACAATTTTTAACTGATGATCTTAAAAGCAGTTGTATACACTTACCAGAGGATGGTAACTCAACCAATATTATTTAAGAGTTCAGCTACTCAAGATAACACTGAATATGTTGAATTAAATCTACGAAATCAAATCTTTCGTTAATCAAAAATATTACCTACTGTATATTCTTCAATATATGATTGTGTTTCTGAAGCTAAAAACAGGGAATAAATTTCATCGTTGAGTATAATACAATTGTATGATATTATCTATTAGGGTCTTATTGTTGTACATATATTTCATCTTTATTTATAAATTCCTCCTTGTTATACTCCTTTTGAGGTTTGAAATGTTTCCATATTGTGGTCCTTGCCAGACATGTAAGATTCTGTAGATTGATACAGTTTCTCTATTGGATCAATGCAGTCAATGGATTTCAATCTTGGAAGTCAGTCTCTAATGGATAAGAAGAAACCTCTACTGATATGGTATTATAGCTACTGTGAAATCGGCAAAGCAGGTAGACTGTACTATGGAGTTGTATTATACTCAAGGATAAAATTTATTCCCTGTTTTTAGCTTTAGTTTGGTTTTTGTTCTGGCAAGAGATGCAATGACGGCATATATATCATCAAACAATTCCAAGAAATTGCTTACCTTTCTAATAGAAAACTGTCAGTCTCTAATGGATAAGAAGAAACCTCTACTGATATGGTCTTATAGCTACTGTGAGATCGACAAATCAGGTTTTCTATTGGAAAGGTAAGCAATTTCTTGGAATTGTTTGATGATATATATGCCATTATTTCATCCCTTACCAGAACAAAAACCAAACTAAAGCTAAAAACGGGGAATAAATTTCATCCTTGAGTATAATACAATTGTATGATATTATCCATTAAGGTCTTATTGTTGTACATATATTTCAATAAAATATTTAATTTTTTCGTATTAAAGAAAATAAATGAACTGGATATTTAGCCATTTGTGGGTTTCTTCTAATTTCCATTTCAAAACTTATTTTCAAACTTTTGGTGAAAGTTGTTAACTAGACATACTTGGTAATACATTTTAAAGGTGTTAATTAATGTATCATACCTTTCTGCTTGATATGACGTTATTATATTTCTATATATTAATAAGCTATAAAGTAAATCTGTGAAATCAAAATCTTTAGTTAATCCAAAATATTACGTCTTGTGTATAATATGACTTGAGTGTAATACGACCCCGTGTTTCCGAAGCTAAAAACAGGGAATAAATTACATCCTTGAGTATAAATATGACCTTGCAGTACAGCCATCTCTATTTAAATTATTTTGGAAAAGTTGTAACATATCCTTTATAGTCTCAATGTCGTATCAACACAAATTATTGCAATGCTTTGCGATTTAAAATTACAAGTACCAGTGTGTATGTATATATAGCTGGCTACTTGTATTCGAGGATACCTGTCTACTATGGCAGCTAGCCAATCCCTGTTGCACATGCTTGCTCAGGCGCATTTGTGTTTATTCAACACCCACAGATTTCACCTTTGGTTTATACTGCAACTATGCTGAGCAGAACTTAGTTACAGTTTCTGGGAAAGAGCGTGTTATCTAGTGTGATTAACAATTTCAACAAGGCCAGCATTCTCAAGCCCTTGGCCCTGATGACTTGTGACTTTGTGCTAGCACAGCTATCGATGGGCCCAAGTGTTCCGTCTACCCAATTTCACTCACATAGCTTGGGTCAACCTGTGGTATGGTTTTCAGGCACTTTCCAAAGGTGCTGCACACTGGGATTGCCCCTTCCATATTGATAACAACAGGAAGTAACCTTCCTGACAAATTGACCATGATGACATTCGAACCCGGGTCTCATGGCCAGAATACGAATGTGCTAACCACTTGGCCATGTGCCCATACAAGTATCAGTGTACACACACTCTCTCTTTCTCTCTCTCTCTATATATATATATAGTGTGTACACACACACTCTCTCTCTCTATATATAGTGTGTACACACGCACACACTCTCTCTCTCTATATATAGTGTGTACACACGCACACACTCTCTCTCTCTATATATAGTGTGTACACACGCACACACTCTCTCTCTCTCTATATATATATATATGCATGTTTCATTAAAAATGACAGACGAGGTACTACGGTTGATCTTTTTTTTATTGTTTTTAATGAAACATGCATAAAGGAAGGATTGCTGCCTAAATATACAAATATATATATATATATATATATATATATATATATATATAACATTAGGCAGCATATGATTTACATACAAAGAATAATCACACATAGAATTAATCAGAAGTATTAATGCGATTATTGGCGACATCCATCGCTAGAAAACATAATATATGCATTAAAATCCTGTTCATCCAGAGTGCGAGTTTTGATCCTTGAAGAAAAACTTGTTGTCTGTAGTTTTTCAGTTTATTTTATTATTGAACTATATACTTAGTTCATGACATAAAAACTAATACACTTGTAAAATAGAATATGTGGATTTAACACATCACAAGAAATATTTAAATAAAATTCTCACTTAAAAATTTTGAAAATTTAGCGTTGCGTCTTTGCGCATTCCACGATCTTACACACCCGTCAACAATAGCAGATATTCAAAAAACATCTTTCGGTCGACATACAGATATATCGTCTCAAGTTTTTGATTTTATAAGATAAACAACACATGCCTGATGATGGATGGAAGGCCGTCCGTAAGTACTAGCATTTTAACATCAAATAAACTGAAAAACTACAGACAAGTTTTTCTTCAAGGATCAAAACTCGCACTCTGGATGAACAGGATTTTAATGCATATATTATGTTTTCTAGCGATGGATGTCGCCAATAATCGCATTAATACTTCTGATTAATTCTATGTGTGATTATTCTTTGTATATATATATATATATATATATATATATATATATGAGTGTACACTGATACTTGTATGGGCACATGGCCGAGTTATATATATATATATATATATATATGTATATATGAGGAAGCATGGTGGAATAGTGGATAGTGGCTCAGATTAAGGAATCTGAAATCCAAGTTTGAATTCCAGTTGAATCCATTACATTCACTTATGTACTAATACCCTTGGGAAAGGTATGAATCCTCTTCTTTGCTCTCCAGTTATGGAAAAATAGCAGGATAGACTGGGTTCTATAGCCTTGGATGGAAACTGGTCTAGGAGAAGGAAAACAAATTCAAAACCTGAGGAGGGTTGTTTAGGGACCTTGTGGTACATAGTGCACCAGGTCTCTGTATTGAGCTATTCAAAAAGTATGGTTGGTTCTGCACAAAACCTTCACAACTATAATCAAATCATATGTGCTGGTGTCTGGGCTGTTGGTTCCTAGAGGCTGAGCTTCTTGACCCTCATATGTGGAATACGACGGGAGAGTCCACATATATATATATATATATATATGTGTGTGTGTATGTATGAGGTGCAATAGGTAAATTGTCACTATTTATATATTAATAAATATACATATACCTACGTTTAGGGTCTGAGTTAAGTTTCATTCTTTATCAACTCATCAGGCACAAAATATGATTTTTAAGTTATATTTTCTGCCTGATGACTTGGTAAACAACGAAACTTAAGTCGTACCTCAAACGTAGGTATATGTATATTTATTACTAAATATTTCTTAGCTCTGTCTAACCATATTGAGCACCATTATGTTTACACCTTTTAAAGTAAATATTTATTTGATTATATGCATGCTAGCATGCATATATAGTTGCTAAAATCTAGTTATTTGATTTACCCACCCCCCCTCTCTCTCTCTCTATATATATATATATATATATATATAGAGAGAGAGAGAGAGAGAGAGATATTTTTTTAGGTTGTTTATGTATTGCATTGTCTGATTTTTTTTTTTAAATCGTTTGAAGTTTTAAAACTGGATGCCTTTGTCTCAACAAACGGAGGAAGACGAAACCATCTAAAGGCATACAAAATGTTGTGCCATTTTTCAAGCAAAAAAAAAAAATTATCATTTATAGAAAAGTAAGGCATTTGTTGTAGCATTAATGTGATCAAAATATGACATCTTGTATGTTCGCTTTTTTTTTTTTTTTTTTTTTTTTTTTTTAATAAATTTTGGTGAATTTGCTGTCTTTGAGACAAAAGACATTCAATTACACTGATTCCCAAAGAACAAATATTGCTGTAAATATCAAATACCTTTTGTAAACAATTATTATCAACACCACCTGCCTACTTTGTATTTTATTCAAACTGACTGGATTTGCAATCTTGCTGTTTCAAATATGAGGTGTTTTCAGCTGAGTAAAAATTTCTGAAAACGTTTGTTTGCGTATATGTACCCACTTTTTTGCCTCTAATTTTTGTTCAAAATTCCTTGTATTATGTACAAGAAAAAACAGTATATGATTTGATTCTGTTCTAAATAATTTTTTCTTTGGGAAACGATTTACTTGTGTTCGGTCATGGGCAACTGCCTTCTCCTTAAATTCCATTAAACAAGGCATACACGAAAAAAAAATCTTTTTAAGAAGTGATTTTTTTAAAAGAATTTCCTTGGAAGAGCAGATTAGTTTTAATTTGCTTGGAGCTAATTGAAATAAAATTTGTTTTTAATTTTATTTTCCCCAAGTTTAGAATTTATTCATTTGTTTCTTGAGTTTCAGGCAAAAATCTTACTTTTAGGATATTTTCTCTTTCAGAATGATTTTAATTGCACGACAGAACGAAAGATGTTCTTTCACTGCTTTCTCACTAAAAGAAATTTGTTATTGCTTATTTTTCAGAGGAAGCATTACTGTTACAAAGGAGTTTTTGGTTTTTCATTATTTTGTTCACAGAGTGAAATAATAACGGATATAAAAAGAAAGATGGAAAAAGAAGGAAAATGAAAGAAAAAAAACAAAGTGATGAAAGAGATAAATAGGAAGGAAGAAATGACAATAAAGAGAAAGAAATTTAAGAAAAGCTAAAGAGTGGTAAAGAGAAGGAAGAGAGAAGAGAGAGTGGTAAAGAGAAGGAAGAGAGAAGAGAGAGTGGTAAAGAGAAGGAAGAGAGAAGAGAGAGTGGTAAAGAGAAGGAAGAGAGAAGAGAGAGTGGTAAAGAGAAGGAAGAGAGAAGAGAGAGTGGTAAAGAGAAGGAAGAGAGAAGAGAGAGTGGTAAAGAGAAGGAAGAGAGAAGAGAGAGTGGTAAGGAGAAGGAAGAGAGAAGAGAGAGTGGTAAGGAGAAAGAGAAAAGAGAGAGAGGTAAGGAAAAGGAGAAATAGAAAGTGAGGTAAAGAGATGGAGAAAAACAGAGAGAGGTAAAGAGATGGAGGAAAAGAAATGGGAAAGAAGAAAAGGAGAAAAGAAATGGGAAAGGAGAAAAGAAATGGGAAAGGAGAAAAGAAATGGGAAAGGAGAAAAGAAATGGGAAAAAAGAAAAGGAAAAAAGAAATGGGAAAAAAGAAAAGGAGAAAATAAATGGGGAAAAGAAAAGAAAAGAAAGGAGGGAAAAGAAAAGAAAAGAAAGGGGAAGTGAAAAGAGAAAAAGAAAAGGCAAACAAGGGGATTTCCTGATAGTTGGTTCACATATTTTAATAATTTAGTAAATGTTTATAAATTGATGAATAAAAAATTGTTTTCACATTTCTTTCTTTTATAAATTGATTTATGATAAATGTTGAATTGTATTAGTTTTTTGAATGTTGTGTATAAATTGTGTTTAATATTTTTCTTGTTAATTCTCAAGAACAAAAAAAAAATGTATAAAATTCACTTTCATCATGTTTTGGTTTTATTCCAATTCTAAACATTGCTTTTTAAAACAATAAACATTGCTGAGGAGTGAAGGTAGTTAAAAAAGCGAAGACAAGGGGGGAAAAAACCGTCCTTTTGACATTCTGTCTTATTGCAGGCATGAAGGTCCATGTTTGTAAAGATTTTCTTGTCTCTTAATACTTTACTTAACTTTTGGGAGGTATCTTTTGCTATTCCAATTTACCTTTGAATATTGGTGTCCCATTTTCTGTCCCAGATATTAAAACTTCTGTATTTGTATTATTTCCCAAATCATTAGACAACAAAAGAAGAGTGGGATCAATCAATATACTTTGGAGACCTGAGAATAAATCTACTGAAATGTGATCAAAACAAACAAAGATAGTGATATTAACCATAACAAACCCTTGTAAAATAGTCGGATCCTTGTACCAATCTAGAAAGTCTAACTTCTCATGTCATGCTTTATCTTTGCAAGAACCAGATCAGACTTAAAATAGAGTATTGCTGCTGTAGCTGGGATAGCCTGACATTCTAGCCTTATCTTCCACCCCTTTGCCACAGACACATCACACTTATTATTGCTCTACCATTACTTCTATGGCAAATGTCCAAATGAGCACTATTGTCTGGTGCCACCACTTCAGATCTTTGCAGTCAAGATCCATCTTGCTACAACCACATGTTTGAATCACCCTCATTTCCCATGTATTCCATTGATAAGAAGGATGTCTGAACCAGAAAGCATCTCCCTTTTTTTTGCCTCACCTTTCTTTTCTCCTTTTCTTTTCCTCTTTCTTTCTACCTTGTAGAACTGGCTCTCATGTGTATACTTTCCTGAACACTATGATCATAATCTCTTTAAGTCTTGGGTCAATTGTTATCTATCCTCTATAGTCGCAATCTTTTTACTGGCACCTCATGTTCATATCCCACACCTAAAACAGTAATACCCTACTTTGAGGCTTACAGCCACATGACACTGAAACACTGGTTCTGTATTTGATCACTGAAGTTAAGCAACATCGAGCCTGGTCATTACTAAGATGGGTGACTGCTTAGAAATAAGCATGGATGTGAAGGTGGTGTAATGAATAACAGCTTGGAATTGATAATCGGAGAGCCAAGTTCCAATTCCAGTTGGGTTCGTTATATTCACTTACGCACAAATACCCTTGGGAAAGTTATGAATCCACCTCTTCTTCCCTTACCTATGGGTTAATTAGTAAGATTTGTATTCCTAAACCATAATTCAATCAGTTATGCGCCATGCATGACACATGCTTAGGTGATCATGTATCTTTTGATACATAAAGGACAAAGCAGATTTTTTCCCCATGGTAGGTTGCCATTTCTTTCTGCAGTAGACCAGTTGCCATCCAAGGCTATAGAACCCAGTCTGTCCTGCTATTTATCCATAGCTGGGGGTGGGAGAAGAAGAGGATTTATACCTTTCCCAAGGGTATTAGCATGTAAGTGAATGCAATGAATTTGATTGGAATTTGAACTCGGCTCTCTGATTCCTCAGTCCGAGCTGCTATCCATTATTCCACTATGCCTCCATTATTAATTACTACAATCTAAGAATATTTTCTGGCTTTAAATAACCTTCAAAGAGTTGATATGGTGTAGAAAATGAATGAATTAATCAATGAAATACTGATTAGCTACATAAGTATGTATTAGATTTATTTACATTTTCTGGAATATAAAATGTATAGAAAATACCATGACTATAAATTGAGGGATCAGTTTATATAGTGATTGTAATATGGAATTGATCCCCCACTTTATAATTTATTGTGTTAATTAGTTAAACTTGTATTACTAAACTGTTTTTGTCTCCAAAATTAAAATAAAATTGTATACAAAATATTTAGATTTCAGTATTAAATACCTCAGAGGTTGATATGCTGCTAAACAACAACTAACTAATCTCTATTAAGAGGCTCTTAGGCCTTGTATTGGATAGAGGCTAGTAATTTTAAAAAAAAAAAAAAGAAGGAATTGTTCTTTTGTACTAAAAGAGTTTCAATCTTAATCTGAAAGGTATTAAAAAAAATTAAATGTGAAAGAATTCTCAGCACTTTGGTTCTTAAAAGGCTTGTTGGTCTATAAAAGATTCTTAGATAATAAACAGAGGTTCTTTGAATGAATGTCGGGAGTGGTTTGTCAGAGTTGAATGAGAAATATCTGAAGCTGAAGGTAGAAAAAGGTAGAGGACAGATGTAGATGGACTAAAACATGAGAGAAGGAAAGAAAACCATATAGGGGAGAGGGGGTGGAGGGAGGGAGAGAGGGGGTGAAGAGGGAGGGGGTGGAGGGAGGAGAGAGGGGTGGGGAGGGGGGGGGAGGGAGGAGGAGGGGTGGGGGGGGGGGGAGGGAGGAGGGAGAGAGAAGGAGATTGGTGAAACAGAAATAGAGAAGGAGAAGTAGGAGAGAGAGAGAGAAGAGGAGAGGAGGTAAGGAGAAAGAAAGAAATATATGGAGAAAAAAGGAAAATAGAGAAAAGATGGTAGAGAAAGGGAGAAAGAAAAATGGGAGCAAAAAAAAAAAGAAGAGAAGAGGAGAGGTTGTGAAAGAGGAAAGGAATGGAATAAAGAGAGAGTGGATAGAAGAGGGAGTGACAGGGAGAAAGAGAATAAAAGAGGTAGACAGATAAAGAGAATAGAAGCAGCAGGGAAAGAGATAAAATGAAAACCTAAGAGAGAGAGAGGGAGATGGAGAAGAGAGAGTCTGTAGAGAGTGTGAGAGAGAAGAGCAGGGACAGAAAAAGAGAAAGTCAGAAAGAAGAGGATGGACAAGGTGAGAGAAAGAAGATAGGGATATGAAGAAGAAGGAGGGAGAAAATAGGTGAGAGATAAGGTAAAAAGAGAAGAGAAAAGAGAAAACAGAGAGAGAGAGAAGGGTAAGGAAAAAGGGAAAAGTGGGGATAGAATAAAGAGAAAGTAAAAAAGAAAGAGTGGAAATGGAAAGAAAAAGAGAAAACATAGAATGGGGAAAAAGAAAGAAGGGATAGTTAGAAATGCAGAGAAGAAAAAAAGGAGAATTATACAAAGAGAAAATTAAAGAGACAGGATTAGAGAGAGAGAGATAAATAGAGAGGGAGAAAATTAAAGAGAGAATTAAAGAAAGAAAAATTAAAGGGAGTGAAAATAAAAAGAAAGAGAAAATAAAAAATAGGGAATTAAAGAGAGATAAAATTAAAGAGAGATATAAAGAAGGAAATAGAGAGAAAATTAAAGATGGAGAGAGAGAGAGAGAAAATTAAAGATGGAGAGAGAGAGAGAAAATTAAAAAGAGAGAGAGAAAGAAAAGAGAAAATAGAGAGAGAGAGAGAGAAAATTAAAGATGGAGAGAGAGAAAAAAAAAGATGGAGAGAGAGGAAAATTAAAGATGGAGAGAGAGAAAATTAAAGATGGAGAGAGAGAGAGAGAAAATTAAAGATGGAGAGAGAGAGAGAGAAAATTAAAGATGGAGAGAGAGAGAGAGAAAATTAAAGATGGAGAGAGAGAGAGAAAATTAAAGATGGAGAGAGAGAGAGAAAATTAAAGATGGAGAGAGAGAGAGAAAATTAAAGATGGAGAGAGAGAGAGAAAATTAAAGATGGAGAGAGAGAAAAAAAAAAGATGGAGAGAGAGAGAGAGAAAATTAAAGATGGAGAGAGAGAGAGAAAATTAAAGATGGAGAGAGAGAGAGAAAATTAAAGATGGAGAGAGAGAGAAAATTAAAGATGGAGAGAGAGAGAAAAATTAAAGATGGAGAGAGAGAAAATTAAAGAAAGAAAAATTAAAGATGGAGAGAGAGAGAGAAAATTAAAGATGAGAGAGAGAGAAAATTAAAGATGGAGAGAGAGAGAGAAAATTAAAGATGGAGAGAGAGAGAGAAAAAGAGATAAAATTAAAGATGGAGAGAGAGAGAGAAAATTAAAGATGGAGAGAGAGAGAGAGAAAATTAAAGATGGAGAGAGAGAGAGAAAATTAAAGAAAGAGAGAGAGAAAAAAAGATGAAGAGAGAGAAAATTAAAGATGAAGAGAGAGAGAAAATTAAAGATGGAGAGAGAGAGAGAAAATTAAAGATGAGAGAGAGAGAGAGAAAATTAAAGATGGAGAGAGAGAGAGAAAAAAGAGAGAGAGAGAGAAAATTAAAGATGGAGAGAGAGAGAGAAAATTAAAGATGGAGAGAGAGAGAAAAGTAAAGATGGAGAGAGAGAGAGAAAATTAAAGATGGAGAGAGAGAGAGAGAAAATTAAAGAGAGAGAGAGAAAATTAAAGATGGAGAGAGAGAGAGAGAAAATTAAAGATGGAGAGAGAGAGAGAAAATTAAAGATGGAGAGAGAGAGAGAAAATTAAAGATGGAGAGAGAGAAATTAAAAGAGAGAGAGAAAATTAAAAGATGGAGAGAGAAAATTAAAGATGGAGAGAGAGAGAGAAAATTAAAGATGGAGAGAGAGAGAGAAAAAAATTAAAGATGGAGAGAGAGAGAGAAAATTAAAGATGAGAGAGAGAGAGAAAATTAAAGATGGAGAGAGAGAGAGAAAATTAAAATGGAGAGAGAGAGAGAAAATTAAAGATGGAGAGAGAGAAATTAAAGATGGAGAGAGAGAGAGAGAAAATTAAAGATGGAGAGAGAGAGAAAATTAAAGATGGAGAGAGAGAGAGAGAAAATTAAAGATGGAGAGAGAGAGAGAGAAAATTAAAGATGGAGAGAGAGAGAGAAAATTAAAGATGGAGAGAGAGAGAAAATTAAAGATGGAGAGAGAGAAAATTAAAGATGGAGAGAGAGAGAGAAATTAAAGAAGGAGAGAGAGAGAGAAAATTAAAGAAGGAGAGAGAGAGAGAAAATTAAAGATGAGAGAGAGAGAAAATATCTTTGACTTCAGTTTTCTTTCTTGTTCTTGTCTAAATTGACAACAAGAAGCAATTTAAAAAAAAAAAGTTCTTTCAAGAAACTAAAGATTGTCTTTTTCTCTTTCTTCTTGATTCTATGAACTCTGACCTTATCACTCCACCCTGCCTCTGGATAACCTAACCTTCCCAACCCACAAATATTCATTTCCTGCAGCCAACAGCAGATGCAGAAGCTGTACCTCGCTGTGCAGCATGTGCTAATGACTCCTCCCCAAGAAGTTGAGGTTGTTTTCAAATGAAAAGTGAATAATTGGACCCTACTGAACCAGGCCAAAACGTAAGACATTCAACACAGCATCAAATAAATTTGTGTCTTTAAGTTTCTTTTCCGTTTTTCATAAAGTTCTTGTTTAAAAGAAAAGAATAGAGTGTTATCCATACCTTGTGCACTGAATCAGCAAGTTGCATATGCTAGGTCATTGATAAAAGTAGTTGCATTGCGGCTATGAAGAATATACTATTCAAAACCCATTATTTAAGAGCCAATTCCTATGAAAGCCTATTTATTCTTTTTTTGGCAAATAAAAGTAAAAAAATTTAAAGATAATCACTGATTTTAATACATGGCTTGATTCTTCAAATATTTTCATGTATCTTGCAAGAGACAACTGGGAGTCAAATTCTTAAATAGCCACATCAGATCTACACTCACTTATGTCATGCATGGGTGTTCAGATTTTTCTGAAATATCTAAATCAGCATTTCTCAATTGGTACGCCCAGGTGCACTAATGCGCCCTGAAAGGTAGCCAAGTGCACCCCAAGTTGACAGAAGAGTAATTTATGAATTATTTTTATATTGAAAAAAAAAAAATCTTTATTTTTAACCTTTAACAAGCTTGATACGAAAATTGTCGCTATAAAATTCTCTTCCTTTGCATGTTGTAAGTGCATTCTGTCACCTTGAGAAGGTTGCTATAAATAAACACTTGTCAATTGTTATTTCCAGAAATAACAGTTGACAAGTGTTTATTTATAGCAACCCTCTCAAGGTGACAGAATGTGCCTACAGCATGTAAAGGAAAATAATTCTATGGCAACAATTTTTGAATCCAGTGTGCTATAAAAATTAAAAAGTTAGAGACATCAAGCAAATGGCTTCCATTTCTAAGTTGATTGATGTTTCAACTGATGATGTTAGCTTATCATTAACAGAAGAGGAACTGTTAACTATATCTGCTGATTGTGGCTTATATACCCAGTATAAAGAGTTATCAATTGATTAATTTTGGATTTCCATTGAACAAGAACATCCTTCAAGAGGAAGTAAAGCATTGAATATTTTATTGCAATTTTCCACATGCTTCCTCTGTGAATTAGGAGTTTCTGCACTTACCAACATTAAATGCAAAAAAATTCTGAAATTTTATTCACTGATTAAATCTTGACCTCTTCAGGTGTAGAATTAACAGTCTTTCCTGTTATCTTGTCCTTTCTTACACTAATACAACCCCACACAGTAACCCTCTACCTTGAGTGATCCTCGAGCCTTGTATTGGAGGAAACATACAGGGTTAGGGTTTATCCTGTTCAGGATTGGGTTCCCAGTTCCTTCTAAAGTCTACTTCAACTCTATACTTCTAATATCTCCATGTGAATTCTGAAATTTTATTCACTAATTAAATCTTGACCTCTTCATGTCTAGAATTAACTATCTTTCCTGTTATCTTGACCTTTCTTCTGCTAATACAATTCCACACAGTAAGACTTTACCTTGAGTGGCCCTTGGGCCTTGTATTGGGGGAATCTTAGTAAAAAAAAAAAAATAAATAAAATAAGTACAGTAAGGAATTCTTGACAAAATTTCATTTCAAACAAACACAGTATCCAGAGAATAAATATTGAAACTGAGGAATCAAAATAACAAGAATAAGGATATTGAGAAGGCTGGAGATTGCATCAACCAGAATACGTAGATGAAAATAGAATAACAGGAGGAAAATGTACATAACAATTTGGCAGATTCCTCAAAAGCAATGCAGCCAGTTTATGTGAAATTTATGATGACGTCTCACATGCAAGCAGATTAAATTAATTTAATTATAAATTTGCAATTAAAAATCCCATGAAAAAACTCAGCACACAAAAAAAAGGAGTGTAAAAATATCCTAAATCTTGCACGATTTCTATTGATCAAATTTCAAAACTGTTTAACCTCTAATAAAACATTCAACAGGTCATAAAAAAAGCCGTCTAAAATGTCTTCCGTAATCTTTGAACTTTTTCCAATGAAGAAGTTAGCCAAAGTTGAAAATTAGAGTCAGGTTGATGCTGAGCAGAGAAACCTGAAGTAGAAAAATAATAAAAATTGGTAGGTATGCCATAAAAAAATGAATAAGGGTGGCAAATTTGAGAAAATGTTGAAAAGTGTGGCTTTGCATATAACATGACTGCATTTCGAGAAATGCACAAATTAAAATGAGGGACAAGCCAGCAGGGATATTATTTGCATGTATCAAGAAAGAATATGATTTTTTGTCTATTGTTTTTGGAGTTAAACTTATTTTTAATCTTACTAATATAAAGACCCCTTCCCGACCACCTAGGAAAAAAGTTTATTCACCCTAAGGTATTCTATTGATAATTATAAATTTGGATATAAATGAGATTCAGGAAAAAACTCAAGTATCGCATTCTAATGATTAAACTGGTAAATTTAAGGAGTTTTTGACAAAATATTGAAATCTATTTTACAATACACTCAGAACAATATTCTAGAGAATTCTAGAACAGCTTAGATTAAATATTATTATTCTAGAATATTCCAGAAAGCCTCATACAGTATAAAAACAGCTTGAAATGGCCACTCAGAACCACTTAAAGCATCTATTATTGCCCTCTCAAAAGCAGGCAAGTTTACGAGAGAAATTGCAGAAATTGCTATAACCTTGCAATCAACTGTTGCTCAAGTGCTTAGGGCACATAATGATGCCACTCCTGCTCCAAGGAAGGAAACAAGGGGACAAAAGAAAAAGATTGATGATAGAACTGGCAGGTTAGTCAAGAGAGAAGTTGCAAAGAATAGGACTATAACTAGCCAAGAAATTGCAGCCAGTCTAAGCGAAGAGCAAGGTGTTAGTCTTGCCTCTTCAACAGTCCGTCTGTGGCTGTTAGAACAAGGCTACAAATCTTGTACATGAAAGTTTAAGCCATTAATAAGCAAAGCCAACAAAGCCAAGAGACTTGAATGGGCTCACTATTACAAAAATTTCACCGTAGAAGACTGGAAGAATGTTCTCTTCTCCGAGGAAACAAAGTTGAGCTAAATTCAAAGGATAAGTGATCTAAAATCCGAAGAAGAAGCTTTGAAAGCTCTTTGAATTTAGCAGTAAGTACTGTCAAGCATCCGTTCAGTATAATATTCTGGGGATGCTTTTCTTTTCATGGGACTGGTTTCTTAAAACCTATTGAAAAGATCCTCAGAAGCGAGCAGTACAAGAGAATTTTAGAGTCTTATCTGCTCCCTTCTGCTGAAAGGGTGCAAATCGACCCCACCAAGCTCATTTTTATGCAGGATAATGCTACCTGTCACAAATCAAAATTGATGAAGTAATACTTTGATGAGAAGCAGGTGAGTGTTATGACATAGCCGCCCCAATCTCCTGACCTCAACCCCATAGAAAACTTATAGAACATTATAAACTACAGGCTCTCGAGAAAGCAGTTGAGCAACAAAGAGGATTTGATTGTGAATTTCATATCCAAATGGAATTCAATGCTTGGAGATGAGATTTGCAAGAACCTAATCAAGTCAATGCCAAAAAGGGTTGAAAAAGTTATTCAAAATAAAGGAGGACCCATAGATTATTATATATTACGAACTATATTACCTATTATAAATAAATTATACTTCTATTATTCTTTATTTAAAGCTGTTCGGTTATGTTTCTATTGATTACTAGTTGCAGGTAATAAGTGAGTCACTTTTTTTGCACAGAGTTTTTCCCTAAATCTCATTTATATCAAAAATTCTAATTATCAATAGAATACCTTAGGGTGAGTAAACTTTTTTACTAGGTGGTCAGGAAGGGGTCTTTATATTAGTAAGATTAAAAATTAGTCTGACCCCAAAAACAATAGGTGAAAAAATTTTTAAGTAAAAAAAATCAGGTGAGTCACTTTTATCGAACAGCACTGTATTTCAATTGAGCGCTGTTCAGTAACAAGCTAATTCTATAAACAACAGCTATCTGCACTAATGTAAAGCTCTTCAGTAAAATGAATAGAGCCCTCTGACTGATTGGCATTCATTTACATTTGTAACAACAATATGCTAGATTTAGCTCCTTCACTGTGCCAAATGAAGATAGCTCAGTGCTAGAAACTGACTGACACTAAATCGGTTGGGTTTCAATCCTGGCTCGAGGCATTTGTTTGTCTAGTCAAACTGAGGAGTTGATACAGTGAAACAGTACTACCTGCAAATGATATGTGTGTGTGTGTGTATATATATATATATATATATATATTGTTATGGGACCTTACCCATAATAACATAATGGACTATTCCAAACGTAATAAATACTGCGCCTCAAGAGAAAGCAGAGAGTTCAGCCTAAAGTCTGGAGTGAAGTCCGTCAGGAGTCTGTCAGTCAGTCGAGTCAGAGGCAGTCTGAAACAGAGTCGGGTTCAGACAAGTACTACTAAACCTGATTATTCGTACTAACACTTTCTACTTCTCTGTATATATTCCTGTTTGTAATATATCTGTGTTATTCCATATACGTGTTCGAGTTCTTTATTGGTTCTACCTTGGACTATCACCGTGGTACAAGCAACTGGACCAGCAACATATATATATATATATATATATATATATATATATATATATATATATATATATATATATACACACACACACAGAGAGAGAGTTGTGGACAGAAACATTTGCCCACACTGAATATTTGTATATTTTTTAAGGAAATGTAAATATTTCCAAATACTTACTAAACTTACCATAAATAGTTGATTCCATATTTAGTTTTGAATAATTCATGAAATTTTTAGAAGTTTTGGCCTATTATATTCAGTTAGAGATTTTCCTAAAAATTGGTGCAATCCAAAATTATTTGCCCCCCTCCTTATGGAAATTCTGAAATAATATTGCTCTATGGCAATTGTAATGTTTTTGTTCTTAATTTGACATTTAATACAAACAACCTTTGAAAATGAAATAGTACTGACCTGATTCTAGA